TACTGCATTGTTTCCGACGTTGATAAAAATTTTTCTTTTCTTCTTGGATCAAGATTATTTCAGATAAGTTTTACTAAACACATTTTTATTATAAAACTTCTTCTTAATATATATTTATATATACACTAAAAAAGATTGATACTTTGTGTAGTATTTTTTTCAAGTAGCAGTTTTTGTTTAACATTATTGTTGGAGAATGTTCTCGGTTACCGTGCAATGTGCGGTTATAGGAATCCATATAACATGAAATTCCTGCTTGATTTGTTGGTCTAGAAAATGACAACACACGTTTGAAAATTAATACTGATTATTTAATTACTCGTATTAATATAAATTGTCAGTGAGATATAGCGTAACAATAACGTGTCGATCACAGACAAATTTTGCCGATTCGCAGCGCCGCTCGGTTCACCGTTCACACACGAATCGTTCCGAAGGAGGCCGAGTAAAGCCCCATCTACATAAGTCGCAAATGCAAAACGCAAACGCAAACGCAGACGTTTCTCTCTTTCTTTTCTTTTATTTTTTGACGTTTCGTTCTTTTTTTTTCTCTGCGTTTGCGTTTGCGTTGTGCGTTTGCGACTTATGTAGATGGGGCTTAACTGTATATAATAGATTTCCTTAAAAAAATTCATGAAACAAGGGTTAATTTTACGGCCGCCAAAGGTGAAACCCCTCTTAAATTTGTCAATTGTTTCTATAAAATTTTGTTTATTAGTAGATATCAGATAGTAGATATTGGAACGCTATATAATTTATAGAAAAGATTTTCCCATAATTGTTAAAATAATGGGACAAAATTGAATTTTGAAAAAATAAATAAATCTACTCGGAGAGAATTTTTTTTTAATTTACTATGCGAATCATGTTAATCGTGGGACAATATAGTATTTAGGCAAATTTTACTGTGCACTACAATAAATTTTACTGTAAAATACTTATTGTAGTGCACAGTAAAATTTGCCTAAATACTGTATTGTCCCACAATTAACATGATTTGCAGGGTAAATTAAAAAAAATTCTCTCCGTGTAAAGGACAGCTACCTAGCTGAAATAAAGGACTGTCTGTTTAGACAATAAAAGACGTCCATATAAATGATATCTTCATCAAGATAAGAATATAATTTAGCCTATAACGGTGTATATTTGATGCTACAAATGCTTCGAAGCATTTGATTGATCGGTCAGAAGAAAGTTTTACTAATTGATCAATTAAAGAATGCTGTAGCGTTTTAAGTGGATGGCATCCAGAATAATATAATAATTTATAAATTTATATTGATCTAATTAATTCTATATGATGACAAATGACAATAGACGTCTGAGATAGCTAAATCTTCTATAAAAGTATAAAATTTTCTAGTACGTAAATTTTATTAGGGAAAATATCAGTATTTTGTAACAGAACGTTATGAATTGAGAAATCGAGCAGAATCTGCAGAAAATTTCGTATTCAAGTGATATATTTCAATATTTCATTGTCCAAATATTCACAAATCAACGGATTTCGTTGCAATCTGCTATTTAGATATTATGTCAACGTGTCCCGTCGGCGAACTGCTGGAATCCGAGCCTGTTGCGGACGCAGCAGTCGATGCCAATCCGCGGTAACGCTCCGCTCGGAACCGCTGGGCGAACCCGCGCTCTAGCGTTTTGCTCACCGGGATATTCGTTCGGAAGAATGTTAATGGTGTTTTGGTATCGTGTGCAGGAAGTGAGACGGGGTACACGTCCTACATCCCGCGGGCGACGTGCGAGTCCGAACGCGCGACGACGGGCGCCCCGCGATGCATCGACCCCCCCACGACGCCCGGCCGCGCGACCGCCCGTCCCTTCCTCCACCGGTCCCCGCTGCGCGACGGCGCGGCGGCCCCCGAGGGCCCGATGTCCGTGTATAGAAAACAAGATTCACAGCAAGAGCGATGGAAGTGAAAAGTTCGGCCGGGATTATTCGGCCGTGGCCGCGGTGGAGAGGATGGCCGTGCACGGGATGGGCGCCGGCTTTAAATCCCCCGTCGTAAACACGCGCGCGTCAGAGGCTCTCAACGTCGCCTGGGATACCCCCTCTCGATGGGGTGGGAGGGGAATACGGGGAACGTACGGTATTTCCAAATAATAATCCTTTAATGACGCGCGCTTTCGACACACGTTGCGTGACGAAAATTCTTATAAATTCTTATAATTCGTATAAAGTATATAGGTGAACACACAGAAAATAGAAAATAATGCAAATCAGCGCAAAACTGAAAGTTTTAAGCGAAGCACTTCTCCGATTTTTCTCATTTATTATTTTTACGATGATTATCAGACAGAATTCCAATTGTTCCGAAGATAACGAGTGCCAATGTAAACCTGCGGAGAATGTTAATAAAACAAACGTTTCTTTCCACATTGTGATCTAATTTAGAAGCGGAGAAAAGCTGGCCAAACTCGCGGCTTTACGACGCCCGTCTAGATTTAGATCATCAGTACGTGTTTTACTTAATCTTCTCTCGCACAGTTTCTTTTACCCCTTTCGCGATCAACCACGCGGCGCGGCGCCGCGTAAACTGAACGAGTGAGAAGAGAGGGAAGAGAAGGAGAGAAAAGGAAAGAAAAACTGCCCAGATGCCAGAAGCGTGAAAAAGCGAAGACAAACATTTCTTTTACGGGATATAATTCGGACGTACTTGACCGCAACTTCCGAGAAATTGGTGGTAAATCCCTTTAGTAAAAGAGAAAAGCAAAATTGGCAGGTTCACAAGTTTTTTTTTTTTTTTCAAAAGTTTGCACTTATTGCAAAATGCAAGATAACAGAAAAGTCTTGCACAAATGTGTTGCGAGAGTTGCGCAAGGATATGACAGAGGAACAAAAGAAGGGAAACACAGGAAACACTCGCGCATAATGTGAGGAGCGTTACGCTCGCGTTTTTAAAATAAAAATACTCAGCATTTCTTGTTTTTCTTTTCCAAAAAAATCAAAGGAAAGATTTGAAGAAGGTACAGAAAGAGAATGCGGTCAAAAGGGACGGGATCGATCTACCGTCGTGCAGAGAACAATGAGCCCACTGATCGACATTAGAAATAACGAAGGATCCAGCAGCCCCGAAACCGCAAGCCAGGCTGATCTTCCTGAGGGCGTCCTCCTCGTCGCCCACGCCAGGCGATTATCTTTCAATATCTCAATGCAGCAATGTAAAACGCCTATCGTGTATATGTATATATACTCTCGATGCCCGCACCTTCCTCGCTCTGCTTCCACTCTCTGCTCTCCTCCTGCTTCTTTCCTCCATCGTTTCTTTTTCTCGATAAGAAAAGGAGGAGTTTGCCTGCATACCTCGAAGCTATGCGGTACACAGATGCAGGCGAAGCGCCGGAGAGAAACGATGTACTTATACGGATCCGAGCCGAGAGAGAGGGGGAGGAGAGGGTAAAGTATATTGAGATTTATTCTATTTTGCGGTAATAACTCTTTTGAGTGCGTGAGGCAAGCCGTTTACAAGCCGTTTTTTTTAAACATATACCATTAAAATTGAGTAGGCCGGCTAAATCTCGAGTAAACAGCTCGAGAGAATTTTGCTTTCATTATCATTGTATATCAGGACTTCTTGTTTGTAGCATTGGGGGCATGTTACAAAATGCTTCGGGGAATAGCGTTGAAATTTTTTTCTAGGGAACTATCAGAGGGAAACCTAACAATCGTCTGAAGATACGGAATGAGTTAGCGCGCCTATTTGTTTTTCTATTCATTTAAAGTAATCTACATTTGCGATAAGGTCTAACATTTTACATATGATGGTCGTATTTCACGAGGCGGACATGTAAATTGAAAAGATCGGTTACAGTTTAGTATTTTGAACTCCGGTAAGGTCATTAAACAGAGAGAGAGAGAGAGAAAGAGAAAGAGAGAGAGAGAGAGAGAGGCTGGCGAAAGAGGCGAGAGCGCGTGACGCGGCGCGGCGCGGCGGCCGAGCCGAGGGCGGCTGGCGCGGCGCGGTGGCGGCCGTGTGTGCGTTGGCGCCAGGCCGCATTCTCGCATTCGTTAAACCGAGGCACGGAGTTAGGTCCCTCCGCCTCATACCTCGTACCTTATGCCTCGTGCCCTGCCTCGCTCTGCCTTGCCTTGCCTCTTGCCTCGCTGGTGTGCCTTGTCTTGCTTTTTGTTTTGCCTGCTCGGCCTCTCTCTCCCGCGCTTGTATTGTGACTTCCTTCCTCGCTCCTGTATTACTCTCTATCCCGCAGCGAGTAATAGCGACAGCAGCGGGATAAAGAGAAAGGCCTCTGATGGCCTCTCCCTCTCTCTCTCTCTTTCTCGCTTCCTCGCACCTCTGCCTTGACGGGGAAAAAATAAAATCGTGCTTCTTGGTATGAAAATTGTTCGGAATTCGTCTCTCTCTCTCTCTCTCTCTCATTTTCTCGGCTCGTGAATGCATACGAAACTATGTTAAAGCTATATGTTTTTCGTCACATTGTCCCCAGTTTGATGACCCTCGTAGCCGAGGGAGAGATTAGGCGAATTGCAGGCGCCACAGTACAGATAGACACCCATGGGGAGCCAATGTGGAGTAGCTTAAAGAGGATATAAGGCGAGTCGCGGTGGCGCCGTGCTCGAGAATTTGTACGACATACCTCTGGCGAGTTACAGCACATAAATGGGTACGTAAATCATGCGCGTAAACAGCCACGTTATATAGATAGAGGCGTTTACTCGGATGACAAGCGACCCGTGAAGCGCCGCCGCCGCCGCATCGGCGAGCTCATTAAGTAATCGATATTATTTTACGATGAACAGAGAAACCCTTGATAGAACACTTACGATCTCGACACGGACACGCGTACTCCCGGGATCGCTCTCCTTACGATGATTAACGAACGTGAAGTTGGGATTTATCTCTCCAACGGTTGTAACGGGCGAGAGCGCCGCGTTTTTTGTGACCCTTCGCATTACTGATAAAAAAGGCCTCTCCTCCACTCCCCGTTAGAATTTTGGCCAGTCCGTATTTCGATGCCACATTTCGAAATAATTGGAATGCTCGTGACACAAGGCGACGCAAGATAAATCTCGTCAGTATCTGTAAGATATTGGGATTATATATCTGTTTCAGATATATTAGAGGACTGTGTAAGACGGAAAAGGAACGAAAAGAGAAGGTGTCGCAACGAAAGCTACCGGGCTACCTAAGATACCCGACGTCATAAATCACTCGGTCGAAACGCACTCGGGCGTAAGAGACAGGGCATTCTCGACTTCTCGACGCCGTCCTTAATAATTGCCGATGATGAATCGGCTGAGTCTAAACCTAACGAGCCTAACGACGAGAACTGCTGGTCTCTCGGTTGATCCCATCGAAATGACACTCCAAAAAAAAAAAAAAAAAATGAGAAAAAGAAATCGTGCTTCTACGAATCTAGAACCTCGCTTCCAGGATGCAAATACGACGAGGAAATAAAACTAATTGGTTTACTTTTTCAGAATTCAAGTGGCTTTCTGACATATAAGTTAATTTAATCAAACCCACCGAGTAATCGACAATTGTCTATAATGATTTTTAAATAGATTTTCGACTAGATGAGGGGGTAGGCAAAGGGACGAAGGAGAGAGAGAATAACCTATCGAAACGGTTCACGGCGAAAAGAGGAAGAAGGCGCGATGGAGGGCGAGTGAGGGAAAGAGAGCGCGAAAGAATTATCTGGTATATATATTTTCTTTCATGTCGTGCACCGTGCAAAGCAGTTAAGCAAAGGTCACAAGTTGAGCAATCTGTCCGTTTATCGGTGCAAACAACGCTTGTGTGCGATGCGATAGGCGACGGAGGAGAAATTGATGAATCTTTCGTCGGAGCTGTCAGACACAGCTGGCTGTCCTAGCGAAACTTCCTCCGCCCTGACAAGTCAAGATCCACGCGAGCGGAGAGACGAGAGATCTCTCTCCTTTCAGGCAATTGAAAACTTCCCGGAAATAATTGGACAAACGTATAAAAAGAGATAAAATCATCGCTTTAACCGGGGACCGGATTTGAGTAAGCGCGGTAGCCACGGCGAGGGAGTAAGGAACGTGCTGTGGGGCACGGGCAGGAGAACGGAGGAGGAGCGCGCGGAGGTGAGCAACAACGAGACGAGAGGAAGGAGAGGAGCGAGAGTGCGTGCATATAGTATTGGGGTGTGGTGGTAATGCGCAGGGGGAGAGCAGCTGGTGGAGCCGAGCCGAGCCGGGCCGGGCCTGGACCGTTCGTGAGTGAGCGCGCGGCCGCCGGTAGAAAAAGAAGATGAGCCCGTTCGGTGTACGCGCGTAACGTACGACGGAGGGGGTCGTAAGAAGAGTGAAGAAGAGCCCCCGGAGGGAGTCCCTCGCCGAAGGAGGCGTGCGGAGGCGCCACGGTGGGTACCGACGCGACGACTCGGTTGCGACTATAAGTAAGTCTCGCGCGGCGCGGCGCGACTTAATGCCATCGCCGCGTCCGTGGCGCCAAGAGGAAGGCCCGCTGGCGACGACGATAAACCTCCTTCTCGTGCGTCCCCCGTTGGACTGCGAAGGAGAGGAGAGAGAACGAGAGAAGGGGAGAGGGAGACGTGGTGAACTTATATTCCGTAGGATGGTGTGGAGTGGCGACAGTGCAGATAACACGTGGCTGTCAGTCGTTACTGCTACTGTGTCGGTTTCGCCTGTCGGTGTTGATCAGTGATCGGCGGTGGCAGTGGCAGTGCGGCAAAAAACACCGCCCAACTCCGGCTTCGGATTTTTCGCGCTATGAAATACATTGTGCTAACGTTAGTTCGTGCTTTCCTTAACGAAGGGTAGAGACGATCTCGTAGGGCCGTGTCATAGGGCGAGTATCATCGCGAGAGCTGTAACATCGGTGTGTAACATATAGTGGTACCGAGTGGCGGAAACGAGGGGAACATTCTCGGAAAGTGGTGGTCGCGCAGAGAGGGTGGTCGCAGTGCGCTCGTCGCGAAACGTTTTTCGTTTTGACTGCGCATACGAATACAATCATCGCCCTGACAATCATCCGTAATCGTATAATCATCCGTAATCCACACCTTGCAGTCGGTGCTTCCGTTTCCCGCGTCAAGTGACAAGCATGTCCGGCGTTCTCGTCACGCTGCTAAGTCTCACGGCCGGCGCGATTATACAGTGCGCCGTACGCCGCGAGATTAGCCCGTGCACCTGCCTGCAAGAGGAGTTCGCCGATAACCAGGCGGCGCCGACAATGGTCGTGCCCACCAAGTTCGCCAACGGGAACAACAATGCCGGCGGCGGCGGCGGCGGCGGCGGCGGCGGCGGCGGCGGCGGCGGTGGTGGCGGCTACCACGTCGGGGACCATCGTATCGAGGTGGTGTGCGAGAAGATGAAGTCGTTCGACGAACTGGCCCAGGCATTGAGCGGCAAATTCACCCCCGAGCAGCAGATCACTCTGCGGGTGACGCACTCGAATCTGCGCGACATATCGCGCCACGACTTCAAGCAGCTGCATATGTCTATCACCCGACTCGAGCTGACTCACAATCATCTTGGGTAAGTGCGACGGACTGTAGCGCGACCGCGAGAGCTCCGTCGATGAACTTCGTCGATGAACTCGGTCGCCAACGAAAAATTACCAATGCGTGAGCGATGATCTTGAACGGTAAGATTACACGCCGATGTGCCGAAGTTCTTCGGTGAAGACGTAAAGAATCATGGGGACGCGATAATGGCACGATTTATCAGTCACGGTTACTACAATCCGCTGCGTATACATTGCAGTCGTATCGAGATAACGACGGTTTCGGAGATCATCTATTCCTCACAAACGCGGTAAACATTAAGTAAGCAACTTTTCTCTAATCAACATTCTTTCGTTATACGTCAGATTATTTCTTCGAAATCAAGTTAAAGATTAAGATATACTGGTTTAATTCAGTATGGATTGACATAGGACTCGAAGACTTTGACGCGAAAGTCCCGATTACCGATTTTTTTTTTTTACAGAGTTTTCTTTTTCACAAAAATTTTGACGGAACGATTGAAAAGTCGATTTGAAAAGTGCAGGCAAATATTAGAGCGGCAACGAGGAGCCGCGGCGCACGGTCTGTCATCCGTAACCGCGTACTCCGTCGCGTAAGTCTCTCTGTCTGAAGTGTGCCACACACGTCGATACGGCCGGCCAGTATCTTTGCAAAAGGTCATCGTCTGCTATTGCGGACATTGAATGGAGGCATTTGTATATGTATAACAAAGAAGCGATCTTAATTCCCACAATGAGTATTTGCGAAGGCGTTCGCGGCGCCGCGCCGCGCCGCGCCGTTGCGTGTACACGTTTGAACCGAGACGCTTGAACTTTCATCGTCGGGGTGCACGCTGGGAAAGCCATCCAGAGTGTGGATCTTACAGCTGATCGTCAAGCTCGATTGCTAATCCCGGATCACGCTTCGTAACGTGCAATATATAGTTCGTTTCGCATAGCCACGTGCAGCGGTCTCCCGACCGCGTCGTGTGCTTTTTCCGCACGATTCCGCCCGGTATATTATTTAGGTGAAGCGATAATTGATAACGGGCAACAGGCGCGACACACGACGACCGGTGCGCAGCGGAAGCAGGATATCGTTACATAATGGTTTTATCACGGAGATTGGTGAAGAAAGGCGATAAATCGTTTCAATATGTCTCGACATATGTGCGGCGAATTCGCACGGTGCAGGAGCTCTCGCGGGTTTTTCCAGTCCACACACGTTTGATTCTCGCTCGGCATTATTCGTCTTTCCTCTTTCGGTATAACGTAGCCGTCATCCTTTACGAGCGACACAAAGGACGAGCCACCCAGTCTTCCTTGATTATTTTGCCGCGCGCATCCCGGGGCTGAACGAGGAGAGAACGACGGTCCTTGAGGACCTCTTTACGTCTTTTTAGGAAACGCTAAGTATCCTCGCGAGACACCAGTGCAGCGGGAGAAGGGACGGGGCGTAAGAATGAAATCTTAATCGTGCCTGACCTCTTCGCGCCGAGTTATCGCGGGAAGCTGTGTATGTTTACCGCGGTGGAATAATTAAATAACGAGTCGCAGTGAGCCAACACTAAGTGTATATAATCGAACGATAACGTCTGGCGCGTCGCCACTTTTTCAGGGCCCTCATTGGCTCGGCTCGTTGCTCCGGTCACGTATTACTACACAAATGATAAACAGCGTTTGTAGTATAGGAAAATATGAAATACTACTGCTCTTCTCGACGTCGGTATTAAAAAAAGCCCCAAAAAAAGTAAATCAGATCTTTCGAAAAAAAAAGCATCACGAGCGCGGAAACGCCGCTCGCGTGATTACCGTATGTCGTCTATCGTATTCCTGAAGTCAAGGACCCGTGAACAAGCGTGATATCACAATTTGCAGGGTCGTGGACGGTGACGTTTTCGCCGGTCTGGGTCGTACGCAGTATTTGAGTCTCGCGGACAACGAGATGCCGTCGATACCGAGGCACGTCTTGTCGCATCTATCACTGCTACGGACTTTGGACCTCAACAGGAATCGAATAAGCCGCATCGATTTGGATGACTTCAAGGTAAGTGACTCTCGGGATTGGAGTATCTTTAGACATTGATATGAAACCTAATCGGGACCACGAAAGTTCAAACTAGATAAATTTTTCGAAATGCCTGCATATGCGTTCTGAAGTGCAGATCTTGGTGCTTGCTTGATAGTAATTGTGTGGATCTTAACAATTTCCAGTTCAGCTTAAATTGCACGCCGAACATTTGTCGGTCTCGAAACACAGCTTCAATTGAATTTTTCAGTTTGGAGCTGTGTTTCAAGACCGATAAATATTCGGCGCGCAGTTTACCTGAATTGAAAATTGTAAAGATTCACACAATTATATTAGCATCAAGATTCGCTTTAGATTGCATATAGTATTTTTAAAAATTTATTTATCTTTAGAGTTTGTGTGTGTGTGTGTGTGTGTAGTATTGCAAAACAGAAGGATCAGAATAGAGAGAAGCTCATTAGCGCGATAAATCGAGGCACATGCGCTATGAATTTTTTGCCAGCCACGTGCTATGAATTTTTTGCGCAAATAATTTGCAAGAAGTTTTGCTCTTGTATTTATGCAAATCTAAAAATTCGCAAACTCTGAATGTTATTATATGATCGAAGAAACGGAAGTTATTTTAAGAGAGACGCTCTTGCATTTAAAGGAGGAGTTATTAGATAAAAGAGAAAAAAAGTCATAAAATTGAATAGTCAATGGAAAGAAGAGGAGAGATATCAAACTCATCATACAACGTTGCGATTTAATGCACTGTCGGTTTTTTTTTTCTTTTATTTCAGTACAATCCGACACTTCAGCACTTGGCCATGGCCGGAAACGCGATCTCTGAGATGACCCCGGGTTCGCTGCCGCCTCTGGTGAAGCATTTGCATGTCGGCAGGAATCGTCTGAACAGCCTGAATCATACTCTAAGGTACCTTTCGCACCTTTTCACGTAAAACTCACGAGTTCGGACACGGAATTAGAATGGACCGTTCAAATTTCGACACTGCGGCAGATTGTAAACTGCGACGCGTCTCGTTGCCGCCAAAGGCAACAATTCCCATCAATTATATATATCTTTGAGATTCGCGCTCATGCTGGAAAGCTGAAGCTGCTACCGCAGCATCTCGCCCATCCTGTTTACTTATCGCGTTTAGACGCTGCGTCTCTTATCTAATTCATTCTGTTTACGATTGAGCCGCCAAGCTCGATGCATGCGAAATGCTGACCAAATGAAATTCCCTGCGTAATCGACCTTTAAAGTCGTACTCGGGGGAATCTGCGATTCTACGGAAAGGACACGTAGAGCGGGGCGGAGGGGGAGGGGGGATTTAGCCACCGCGCGATTTAGCCATTTTAGCCACGTGCCCCACTTGTTTGCTTTACAGAGATTTGAATCAACTTGAGTGGTTGCTCATTAATTCTAACGAGCTCACGTCACTCGACGGCGAGCTACCGTTGTCGGGCCACAATCTCAAGATGCTTTACGCCGTGGATAACCAGTTGACGCATCTGCCGGCCGAGTTTCGATACCTTCACCGTCTGGAGAGTCTCTTCCTCCAGCAGAACAAGATCCGAAATCTCGACGGCACTCTGCAGAAAGCCAGGCGCTTAAAGTTCCTGGAGCTCTCATATAACGAATTGCAAGAGGTATTTAAATTCGCCTACGCGCCTATGCGTCATGCGAGATTTTTTCTTAAGCCTCGGACTTCGGTAAATCGTATACCCGATTAAAATACGTTTGACTCGCTCACAGGTCGCGAGAAAATAAGATTGTTTTTCAAGTCACAGAAAGTTATGATTATTTTTTTAAATACCGAATAAACTGATGTACCTTTGATAGAAAGGATTTCAACGAATCTAAAAAAAAGTGAGAGAGTAAATCTGCGCGCGGAACTGCAGCAACTCTCGCGGCGTGGATCTGCATCGTCAGGCGAGCGCATTCGGAGCGCACGTGCTCTCTCGAATATGACGCTTTAACGCGCGCGGGGTGGACTGCACGGCGGGGGAAGTCGGAGGAGGCAAAAGCGCGCCATACATTGAGCCAATTACCGCGTAACGTAATTATTGCCGCCTTCCGCCTGGCGGAAGGATCTCAAGTCGAGCGAAACGGACGAACGTCGTATCTCGCGTCGCGAGGCTTTGGCTCGTCCAAATTGACATCAGCGAGCGCGTCCAGCGCTCGGATGGCGTTAACTAGATCGCGCGCGGTTCACGCGCATATTATTAGGTACATTATACGGATAGGAATTCAACAGACGTCTAAATTATGCCTCTTCAGCTGAACGCGGACGATTTCTTAGAGGCCGAGATGTTGGAGACCCTCGAGCTCGGGCACAACTCCATCAAGTCTCTCGGCGGCGCGGACGGCGACGGGAACGGGAGTAGCGCCCTTTATCCCCTCAGATCGTTGAAGTGCCTGAACCTGACGCACAACGAGCTCCGCGAGTTCTCGCTGGCTTCCTTGCGCAGTCTACGTGAGCTCAAGCTGCTCGATCTGTCGAACAACCGGATCGCCAGACTGCACAGAGGAAGGCCGTCCTCCGAGGTACGTATCTACGTCATCCGATGCGATTTACGTGTACTCGACGAACGTCATCGTCGGTTGATGTTGTTTACGTTGTCTGATCTGACGATCCGGTCGGAATCCACTCGCGATGTGCGCAGAACTTGGTGGAGGAGGAGGGCGAGGAGATCGCGGGCAACACCATCCAGGATCTGCTTCTTCAGTACAACGAGCTGCGTAGCCTGGACGACTCCCTGTTCCTGGGCATGAAGGAGCTGCAGAGGCTCAATCTCAGCCACAACGCGCTGGGCCCCACGATCGGGCCGCGCGATCTGCGCGGTCTCGACGGGCTACGTACGCTCGACATCTCGCACAATCAGCTCACCACTCTCGAGGATATATCGGAGGTGAATATAAAAGGATAAAAGTTTGAGTTATCCTTTCTCGTCTTTCCTTTTTTTTTCCCTTCGTTCGACGTAATCGATATAATTGCATACCGATTGTACCGTAATTTAGACGTGGCTACCGTCGCTGGGGGAACTGCACGCGTCGCACAATCGCCTGGTCACGCTGTCCGGCCGAGATTTTCGCGGTTTCCCGGTGCTCTGCAAGGCCGACGTCACCATGAATCAAATACGTACTCTCTCGCCGGAGCTGGAGGCCACACAATGCAAAACTCACGGGGTCCTCGGGGGGATAGGTATAGAGCTTGAAGGTGAGTTTATATTAGATATTCTCTCTCTCTCTCTCTCTCTCTCTCTTCCAAGGCTTCTTCGCATCACCTTTTAATATCATATATTTAACGCTACCGCATACGCACATGTTTCTATTCATAAACACAATAGATTGTTTATAATAACGTTATATAACAGCAGCAATTATTAGAATTTATATCACGCTATTTGAGAGCTCCTCGTACATACATCTCTTATACCGATTTGGAGAACAAATCGGCGTAAGAAAAAGCGATTCATATTCTTTCAAAATATTCCAGCTATTTTTATGATGTTGCCCAAAATAAAATAACTTAAGTTATAACTTAAGTAACTAAAGTCGACAGAAAGTGACGAGACACTGGCGAATTTAATTTTGATATAACATAATCTTGCATATATGCAAGACTGCAGGAAAGGTACCGATGTGCGCATTGCTATCTATTATCCGGACGGTACGCGAGAGATTCGTCACAGACGAACGGTAATCGAGTTAACAGCCGTAAACGAGACTCTGATTCCCATAGAAGAATCTCCGCTCGGCGACACGACTGTTCGTACCGCAATGTGAATTCTTCGACGTCTCGCAAGCGAATGTTCAATTTAATAAGTTATAAATTTTACGCTACACTATACAGTAAGCATCTAAAGATGTTCATTATAATTCTATGAAACTTCAACACGATTTGGTACTGCTTCTCTGCTTTTTTTTTCGCTAATATTCCGCACTTCTCTTTCGACAGACCAGGGGGCGGCAGCTCGATATTATTTGGCAATGATTGATGCACGATTAAATTCAATTAGACCGTTAGACATTAATCGAAGAGGACAGAACGATGGTGTGGCGTCAGCGGCGCATCGCATAATTAATAAACGCCGCTTGTAAGGTCCAGCAGTGGACAAACAAACGGAGGGAAGGCGAGCGAGGGGAGAATGAGAGAAGGGACTGGAGAAAAGAGAGAGAGAGAGAGAGAGAAAGAGCGGCTAGGACGCGAGGGGGACGGAAAATAAATTACTCGCTGATAATCGCCCGGCTCCGTTCGGCTCCCGAGGCGTATATTATTTGTTACAACGGTTACATTTCTCGCGATAACCCCCGCTGCGGCGCCATCTCGATTTATTTATTATGTACCGGCGTCTGCCCGGTTGAGCTTTGTTATTGTTAATATATCGTCTTTCTTCTCTCAGCAGTCTCACGCTATCGTGCCCAATCCCGTTATCTTCTGTGCTGTGGTCTCAGCAGCCCATTTGGCACTCTCCCCTTCCCTTCCTCGCCCGCGGTTTCGCGCTCGAGGAAACTCGTCGGGGAAAGAAATCGCGACGGGAAATTTGGGAAAGCCCGCGCCGGGTTCGCGCCGCGAACGTGGCAGCCGCTATTAACAATTAATTATTACAGGCTAGGCGAATCTTTGTTATCACAGCTGGCGCCACATCGTCATTAATCACGCGTGTTTTTACGATAACTTTTTTTTTTTAACGATAATTTACGATCAAAATAATACGGGGGCTCTTGAATTTAGGGCTGAGATAGACGGCAAAAAGAGCACAAGATACCAGGAGCGAAAAAATTCAATCCTCGCCGGTGACGCGTTACGGGCGAGTCTTCTCGCGTATACACATTAATTTCTCGTATTATCTTATTGCTGCTCCATTTCATCCCGTGTGCTCACGCGGCAAGCCCTTTTAACACTCACACCGCACACGCGCGCTTTGTTGTTCGCAGGTAATCCCATGCTGTGCGACGCCGGCCTGGCTGACTTGAAGTCGGCGCTTGAGGTAAAGAAAGTGCTTTTGGCCGGGAACGGCAGCGATTGTCCGACCACGACAACGTTCGTGCCGCCGCCGACGACGACGACGACGACGACGACGACGGCGGCGGCGACGCCGACGACGACGTCGACAACGACGATGGCGACGACGACGACGACGACGACGTCGACAACGACGGCGGCAACGACGGCGGCGACGACGACGACGGTCGAGCTGACGTCGGCGCTGCCGCCGGCACCGCTGCCGCCGACGCTCCTGCTGGCCGCCGCGGCGGCCGCGTCTGGGGGCAACGTGTCCTTCGCCGCCACCCTTGAGTAAGGGCCCCGGCGTCGCCGCGGTGCGTGCTGGCCCTACTACGAGAATAATTGCGCGAGCACCACGTCAAGCAGGGTGAAGATCCGACGAGCGAAAGAAGGAGGGAAGAAAGGAGAGGCCCGAAAAATTTCGCGCGAGAACTTGTCTTCGTTCTTTTTTTTGGACGAGACGGTAAGAGGAAAGAGGCGCGAGGTAGACCACCAAAGTACGAGCGGAGCGAAACGACACGCCGTCTCCGTGGACGACACCCATTGGTAGTGCGCATCGCGTGTACATACATCGTGCGTATAGTGTAATGTAATGTAAACGGGCTCGGCGATCTTTCCGAGCGCCCTCGGAAAATTTCGTTTCCCAGCGATTTCGAGGATGGGCGGTGTGTTTGTGCGCCCTGTCTCTCTGCGCGTAAATTAGAGAAAGCGATTTTTGCACGAGATCGCCGAGAGAAGCACCTTCTTTAGTCGTTGTAGCGAGCCTCGAGACGGACCCGGACAGCCTCGATATGTATACTTAGGAGAATCTCACGCGTTCAAAAATATCCCATTGGATATTCGGGCTGTACGAGGAGCCGCTCTCGTTCGTCCGATATTACGGAGTCTTGGAAATAATTCGAGGAAAAAATTCAAGCTCCAAGTTACGTCGTCGGTAAGAAGACGAACAAACGTGGAATTGTATTGCAAATACATGCAAATTACATTATATTCACTTTTCCGTTCGGCAACAGACTAGATCCTTACATGCCGTTGCATTGTAAATATAGTCTCCACCGGCGAGAAAAGTCCCGTTTAAATAAGCCGTCTCAAATTTTCCTCTTTGTTGAGCGCAAAATAGAGAATGGCCGACAACGTATAACTCCGCGAAACTCGATTTATTCTTATATATACACTTAGGCGTCAGGCTCGCTTTCTTTTTCCGCGAGCTTAAATGTATGGCATTCTCAGATGCGATTACGTGTTCAATACGACAGAGCAATAAAAAGAAATATACATATTGAATAGCATTGTATTTTGGAAATGCGCGTAGAGCATCCAAGCGTCTCGAGTCCACAGCGGAAATATGTTAATTATCCGCTTTCTGATAAGCTTTCCGAGCGTATCACGGAGGTGACGGTACGGAGTGCGAATGGAGGGAAAGCAGCGACGTTTCTAACAACATGACAATTCGTGGAAGACTTCGGTCTCCGCTCAAGTTTCTCGATGGTCATGCAGAATGAATTCCCGACGGGTCAATGGAGCAAATGAAATCTGTTAACTTTATGCCGTTGGCACGGGCTGATTGGCAGTGGGCGATCAATTGACTCCTTCGTTAACTCGTGCCAATAGGGACGAATTGTTATCAGCGTGCCTCCACGCATACATAATGGGATCAGCCCGCCCGTCATCCGCGTGTACGGTGTTCGGTTATTCCACATAGCGCGCGTAAATAATATTACGGTAAATGTAGCGTAAAACGTTCCCGTTCCCCCGAGAGAGATTCGGCGGAAAGAAACGCGGCGCGAGGCATTTCCCCCCCCCCCTCGATCAATAATCGCGACATCAAACGCAATTTAGTTGCAAATCAAAGATTTCGGCTGTCCCGTGTGCGCTGAATATAGCGTGAAAATTTGCAAAAATCCATAAAAGAAAATAAAAAGGTGCCGTGCAAATGGTGTTACTTTGACCCGAGATCAAATAGATTTGTCATAATCTTAAACGGGCGCGAGTATCTCTTGATTTTTCACACACACTATATAGATATATATAAATATATACACATTGCAGAAGGCAGCCAATAGCACGACTGCTAGCTTAATTTTAGCTAGAACTCAGAATCAAAATAATTTATCTCTGTTAAGTATTTTAATGAGGAATAACTTTGCGTCGTGAAGGGGGCAGTCGCGAGAATCGTGAAATAAATGACAAAGTATTACAACGAGCGAACGTAACGTCTATCTAGTGAGTGACGTTGATATGTGCGTGTATGAAATACCACCGAGAAGACGACCACAGGCGGCGCGGCGCATTAACGTAAGGCCAAAAAAAAAAACAATGTACGTAAGGCTAAAAAAAAATAAATGTACTGATTTTACTTATAAGTGGATTTCTCGCGATGCGTCCGCGAGGACGACGCAATGTTACATGTATGTACGTAGGTACCATTTATATATATATATATACATATGTATAAGTATATGTACATATATATATACTTATAAAAAGACAAAGCAGAGACCTGTTTATATAATTTTAGCGACTAAGTTATTATTTATCCGCACTGTGATTTGCAATTTGCTCTTTTATGACTTTTACGAGAAAATAAACACTGAAGGAGAAACAAAAAAAAATATATATATACCGCTGTAACGATATAATTAAATAAAACCGTGCCGACGTTTAGACAGTGTGTCGTATGTTACGTATCTTACACACATATAGCAATTTTATCTTCTAGGTATCGTGACTTTTATTAATAAAAAAAAATTACTCTCGCAACGAGGAATAAAACATGTTATTTCTTATCTTAAAAATAATATATCTGTTCTACGAACTGTTACAATTAACGGCCGGTGCGTTGAGCGTCTCTCACGATTTCTTCTTCATTTTTACGTAATGCTTTAGAAATATACTTCGTACCTCGCACAGGAATGTAGTAATTTCAAAGTCGAAGACTTTGGTACCTTCGGAGGAATCCTTTAAAGCAGTTAGCTTTTCGAAATGCTCTTTCTTCAATCTCGGTTCAATTTGTTCGACTGAAATGATTAATACAAATGATCAGAATGTCTCAGTAGCATTAATTATATCTGTTACTCTTAGATTTATACTTGGGACATTACATACCTGTCCAGTCAGTATTACTGTGTGACAATTCAACGAAGTATTTATCCTTCATCGCTTCGTCGTGCGTGAAAAAGGAGAATTTTATGCATCGACGATCCGCCTCCTCTTCGAGACTTATATGTATATCCAAATTTACTTTGTAGATGTTGCACGCGCGCTTAATGGCGTCCCATTGTGAGACTTTCTTTTGCTTCCTATCTTCTAATTCTGTGGAAATATTAAAATTAAATAATTAAATATAATGTGAGTAAAATACAAGTAATGGTGTGCAGCAATGGTCGTTAAAATTAAGTAAGAGCGGATGTGGAAAAACGACGCAATACTGCTGCTCTGCTTTCAGATAAACAAGCGTGCAGACTCACCGAGCTGTAGGTCCACCATATGCAGCGACACGGTTTCTCTCTTCTCTTTCGCCTTCTCCAGCTCGTCCCTCAGCTCCTCCTGCGACTTTATCACATTCGATATCTTCTTGTCAGTTATCTTCCGCTGCAGCTCGGCAGCGTCCACGTCGGATTTCGTCGTGACGATTTCCTGCTGCAGCTCCGACATCCTCCCGGTGTTGACAGATTTCTTCTCGCTGCAGTCTGCGAAACAAAGGCGAAAGATTGCTCTTACAATTCATCGCTTGTACACACGTGGTTTCTCACGAAAGTAGGGTAACTGTCCCTATTAGTGTGCCCTGTACCTATTAATGTGCTTATATATTTAAATAAGTCATAAAAATAAACTGGTACAAATAAATAGACAAAGTATTCTTTTTCTATAAAGTTAATACTTTAACTTAATAAAGATCGGAAGAGCACACGTCTG